CACCCGAGGCGGGCCCCGGGAGGGGGGAGCCCCGAAATAGCTGGTCCGGCTGGGTGGGGCGATGGGAGTCCATTGTGAGCTCGAGGGGGAACAGCCCCAGCGCAGGGGGAGCCATGGGGAGCCGGAGCAGCGTCCTGGGTCCCCCACGCCTTCGCCCAGCCTCCTGAGACCCGCGTCAGGCCCGCCCAGCCGCCGGCCTCTGCGAACCTGCTGGACTGGAAGGTGGCCATGAGGATAGAACACCCCCGACCTCAGGCCGCTGTGGTGGTTCAGAGCCGGCCTAGTGCCTGCACAGGACCTTTCCGAGGCTGTCTACTCGCTAGGAATTGTTCCAGGCTCTGAGATCTCCCAGGGCACAGAGCTCAGAGTTCTCTGCCCCCGTGCAATTTGCATTCAATAGGTGGGCAACGAGGGTGATCATCCCTGACCGCTAAACACACGTCACCCCTTCAACCATTCATCAGATTTTTGGTGTCCCCTCGTGCTGGAAACTGATGTTCCTTGGCGTGGTAAGGATCACTTGAATAACAGAAAGTACACAGTAGGTATGATGAGAAATCATCCCCCGGGGGGGGATGGTCACACCGCAATCCCTACTCCTCCATTCTCCTCTCGGGATCTTGGGCACACACGCACACGTGCCCGGCGTGAGTTTTAAGCCACCGGGTCCGGGACGCGAACCGTGGTTGACTACGTGGAAGTCCAGCGACATAGCCATTACGCTAACTGCTGGTTTCCAATAAAGTCCTCTTGTAAAGACTGACTCTGGGTTGCAGCGGTAGTGCACTACTCAAGAGTAGCTGGATCTTACATAGTGATGGTGATTCAAATCCCTGGCACAGCCAGGCTGAGACATGCCAGGCATGAGCAAGGGTGCCGTCGATCTGATAGGCTGGAGGGAGGGATTTTACTGTGACTGGTGGATGGTGCTCCCCCAACTTGTTCCCCATACCTGTGTCACTCTCACATGAGCACGTATGCACTCTATTAAGAATAAAGAAAAAGAAGTTTCCTCTTGGAAAGTCTGTGGTGCACAATAAGCACAATTTCTGTGTAACAACCTGGCCTGGTCCTGTCTTGCCTCTAGGTTTGTCACCCTCATCATGGCCCTGATAAATGTTAATCACACTGGGTTCTCCATATTCTTGAAGGGAACAGTTCATTTAGGCAGCAGAGCACTTTTTCTATAATAAGTACTAAAAAGAAAGTTCTTTCTTACCTCCTGCTGGTTAGGGAGTAACAGCTTCCACCGCTTCTACTCAGTTCTTCACAGCATTATAGAAAAAGGGTGATTTCTCACGTTCCCTCTCACTGTTTCTCTCCAGCAAGCACACATGCTCTATGGCAAAAATCTAAGGGAAAAGAAAAAAAAAAAGATAATTGGGATGTGACATAAGTCACATTGCAGACAGTTGAAAAGAAGTAAATTCTGCACACATACAACTCAAATGCCAAAAAAAGCACACAAGTTTATCTTAGAGTGTTAGACTGAGAATGAACAAAAACAACAGAGGCCATGAGACATACAGAAAAGCTGTTTTCAAAGTCTAAAAAAGCTAACCCAAGCTCCCAATCTGTGATTCCAAAATTATCTTCTTCAAAATAGTACCTGTAGGGACCAGCAGTTGGCAGAACAGTTACATTGCTGGATTCCCACATAGTTGATTATGGTTTGAGTCCTGGACCCAGTGGCTTAAAACTCACGCTGAGTGCATGTGCGTGTGTGCCCAAAATCCCAAGACGAGAATGGAGAAGAAGGTATTGGGTGTGGCCATCCCCCTGGGCAGTGATTTCTCACTTTCTGTCTCTCCATCTCTCTTTGTCTCTCCGGCAACACATGCACCATATAGCAGAATATCACTCTAAAAAAGAAAAAGAAAATAGTACCTGTAGCTGTGTAGCTATCCCTTCCATTAGAGATGGCTGCCCTCAAAACCTAAGGCAAGGTTGTCATATGGTCCCAACAGTGGTCCCAATCTTTTTGGTACCAGGGACTGGTTTCATGGAAGATAGTTTTTTTCATGGACAGGGAGTGGGGATTTGGGGATGATTTGAGAACATTATTTTTTTTTTAGAATTATTATATTCAACTTTATTTATTTATTTATTTATTTATTTATTTTAATTTGACCAGAGAGGGACAGAGAGAGCGAGAAAGTGAGAAAGCAAGCCACTAGGTCCAGGACTCAAACTGCAGTAGGCTGTGTGGAGGTCCACCACCCTTAACCACCACACTACCTGCTGACCCCAATTCGAGCACATTTATTGTGCACTTTCTATTGTTATTACATTATATAATGAAACAGTTCTATTCACCATAACACAGAATCAAACTAGTCATAAAACAGAATCAGAGCTCAGGGAGTCCTGAGCTTGTTTTCCTGCAACTACACAGTCCCCTCTGGGGATGATAGGAGACAGTGACACCTGAGCTGTTTTGCTTATGTCCAGTCTACTCCATAATCTCGATTTGGTTGTTGTCACTGCAGAAAACCCTGCTTCACAAAGATAGGATATTGAAATGGAAACAGGCTTTGAAGACCATCTGGAAGGAAGAGCCCATCCACTGCACATCCCCTTGGTACTTTGGGCAATAATGCTTGGTCTATGTGCATGTCACATGAGCAATGCTAGCAGACCCAAGCACACATAATGGGAAAATGGGGCCATCACAAAATAACATTGCAGCAGAGCAAACTGGGGACCTTTAATGATATACATGAATGAGTACCTTCTGATCAAATATTCCAATGATAAGCTAGTCATGTTGAATTTTCTCCTGACCAATTGTTAATTCACCCAGGTGATTTCCTTAGTACACACTGCCCAACTTACAGTGATTTAACTTAGGATTTTTCAATT